CAATTTAATGATATTTCTTTACCAAAACCAAGTAAAATGCCATCAGGACGATCAAATTCAATAAATCTTTTACCATCAGCTGATATTCTTAGTACTCATAGTACTTTATTTGCGAGATTGATTGATGTTCTAGCTATATTATAATTTGGATTGATTAATATCGTTTTGATATATTGTTCTTTCATAGTTTTAATTGCTTGTCGTTCTTTAAAATAAAAACTAATTAAAATGATATAAAAAATCTTATGCATCTACCTGCATAATCAATTTCTCCTTCTTGTCCACAATTTAAACAATCACCACCTAATATTAAAACTCCCCGGGTCGATCAAAACGGGTACCCGTTACGGGGTTGTTTTCGGACAGTAAGCGATGAAAAAACGGCTAGTTTACGGCCGTAAATAGTCCGTATTACTCCGTATGAGTGGATGCAGTAATACGGTACCGTATATGGTGCCGTACACGGTGAAAAAGCCACTGTAGTACGGTCCGTAAAACTGCATCTACTCATACGGCCGTAATACGGTCCGTAAAGTAACCGTATCGTCCGACCTGAGTTTGTTTACTCGCTTACAAAATGCTGGTGGTGGTGCATTAGCATCACTAACACGTTTTGTTAATTGTTCAACTAAATATTTTTCAGCATTAATTGGTTTAGTTGATTTATATGATTGAAAAATATAGAGCAATATTTGAAATAAATTTTCTGTGTCACATGATCCAGCATAATATTCTGGATAAAATTGAACACTAAATAAATGCGGAAATCTCGGATTTATATCCGAGAGTATGTGTACTTCAAAAAGTGAATGAGACAAATCGGTCATCTTAGAATCTATGGATATAAAAATTTTCCTGGCAAACCTTTTCTATAAACCCTTGAATTCCATTGGCTACTGCTTAACCAATAGGACTTAGGAGCGTATACAGCTCGGATTTGAACTCCTCGGTTTAACTTAGCCTCAGAAATTCGTTTTTCCTGTAACTTGATTTCTATTGGTCAATGCTCAACCAATGGGTCTTCGAGGCAAATGGAGTACAGATTCGAGTTTTCCATACTAGAAAACCTTCGATTATCACCTCAATGATAGGAAGACAGAGTTCCTATTGGGGATCGATTGGAGTGTACTCAAAAACCGAATCGATTCCCGCTTATTTATCTTGCCAATAGGTGAGTTAGTCTTCTTGTTTCTTGATGTTTTATATACCATTTTGTAGCTTTTGAAATTCTCTATCGAATGGTATATAATAGTTGGGGTTTTAGTTGACTATGATAGGAAAAGTTCTTTACGAAAGTGGGAAAGGGTCGATCTTTCCATAGGGAAGGTATAGCGAAAAATGAGTATTTTTGCAATAACTCAGAAAGGGCTCGGCCAATCCTTCTCATCTTCGAAATCGACTGAGATATTGTTAAGACTGAACTGTGCAGAAAATTTCATCGCGATCTGACTCTCCTTTCAAAAGTTATCATGTAAACGAACGGACGGACGGCCGACCGGACACACTGACCGATTCTAGAGTGTACTCACTTTTTGAGTACACAAAAATGGTTTTGAATCATGAATAATGCCTACATTTGATAGATCATTTGAATTTGTAAATAAAATACTCCAATCTTTAGCTGCACCTTGTGATGTTCGAACAGCAAAACCATGATTTTATGATGTTATAAAACAACATTGAGTTCCTTCTAATAAACATGGCTAGAAAATATCAATAATCATTATTACACATTCCACAATTATTATTAAAAACATACTTGATTATAACCTTGTTGTCCATATTTAAGTTTTATTGCTTTCATTCCAGCAGCTAAAGCCATTAACTAAAAACCAATCGATATAACCAAAGAAGAAATTTATTTAAAATTTTTACTTGATGTCCGAGACCAATACCAAATACCGGTTTAATAGTTTCACTTGTAATTCATGATTTAATAATTGTAATAGTTTCTGGATATTGAGTTTGTGAATTACCGGGACCACTACTCAAAAATAAACCATCAAATTCTAGAAAGTAAAAAGAAAGTAAAAGTTTTTATTTAGTTTTTCAAATAAAATACCATCTTGTCTAACAGGATAATTCCATGGAAAGACTGTTACTTTTGCACCGAGTTGACATAAAATTCGTAATTGATTATTTTTCACACCACAATTAATACAAGCAATAGATATTTTTCCTGTTGGATTGATTACATATGGTTCCTAATAATTCAACCAAAAAAAAAAGAAACAATCAAAAAGCTAAAAAAGTTTACTTACTTGAATAGAAACTTGTATCATAAGATTAACTTCATTTTGATCTTGAAATGGAATTGATGTTGGATTAGTTTCTTCCATAACAATCTATTCACAATTAATTTAGTAAAAAAAAGTGTTTTCCAAGCATTGTTCTATGTTCATGAAGTTTTTTAGTTAACATACGTGTATCCATTCCTAAAATCAAAATAACGGGTGCGGCAGAGAAAATTGCCGGTTTTTGATAGGCTATTTTCTCAAGTTAGGCTCGACTAGAAAGTTTGATTTTGATGTTAAAAGATAGAGAATTTTCTGTAGAATTCATTGATATGTTCGTTTTTAAATGAGCTTTGTCCGTTTTCTTGTAGCATCAAAATTACAGGATGCCACAAAAACATCGACTGCTCAGCACTTTGCTGGAATAAAATGTCATTTTTATTTTTTAAATCATTTTCTATACGCTATTCAAACACACTATGAAAAGAAGAGAAACGTATTTGTTTTTTTAGAGATAAAACCAAATTTTTGTCCAAAGCTTTACTATTTAAAAACCACTTACAAAATATGTCTAATTATCAATTGTTGGCGCCTATTAATGCCAAGGGAAACATTTCAACTTCGTTATTCGGTTAGCAAAAGAGGTTAGTCCTTATAAAGAAGTACATTCTGTACAGCTTGAAATTCTGCGT